TGTAGGTATGGTGAAATGACTATAGAGCAAGAGAAGGAGCTATTAGAGTCCTCTAAGATATCCCAATACAGTCAGTTCTGTGATCTGAGACATAGGTCTTCCTAAAAATCAGTGCATTCTGCAAAATTGTGCAATAAAAACCATAGGGCTTAGGTTACAACAACAACAACAACAAAATGAGGCTATGTCACAAGACTTGAAAGCTTCAGCAGTGAAACACTGGAAAAAAAGAGATAAGAACCTAACGACTATGGCCAGAAGAGTTTTATACACATTAAATAGCTAAGAAATACTTAGGTACTAAAATACACCAAGTATTTTACCTGGAAAAAAAAATGTGAAATTGGCTTGTGTAAGTGGACAACAGAGAAGTTGCTGCTTGTGAGTTATTGTAAAGAGGTAGAAGGAGGATTAACAGAAATCATAGGGAAAATTGTAATCCCAGAAGCAGTGAACTGAGGCAGCTGGAAGATATTTGAGGCACGCGCACGTGTATGTCTGTGTGTGCATGCATTCCTACCTAAATCACTTCATTTGGAAAATTTCCTGCATCAACCTAGTATTTCTTGCAGATAAAACCATGCATAAGCAAATGCAAAATTCACAGTATGCTCAAATTGTTACCTAAAATACCAATCGCATGGGAACAAATCAGTTTCAAAATAAGATAATGTATATGACAATTTATCATTGATAAAAACTTGAGACGGGGAATAAGCTTGACAGAAAATTTAAATAATCAACACCGGACTTTCTTGGATCAAGGAGGTTGTTGAATGAACTGAATAAATTAGAAAGATTAACACCTTACAAAACTTTTCCTGGATTTTCTCTTTTTTTTTATTCGCTATTCCTTTGCCTTTGAAAATTAACTCAACGATTTCTTAATATATCTACAAATGACCCTCCTCCATTCTTTTTCTTAACATGACTTTTTCTCCTCTCTATTCATCACCCTGAATTAGTTTCTTTTTCAAAAATGTTTTTTGAACTAACATTCTTGATTTTCTTTCTTCTAAACAGGATATTAACTTTATTTAAGTGTGAGGCTAAAAAAAAAAGTGTTTTAAATACCTTATTTTGAGACATGGCGGGTTTGGGGGTTGGTAAAGGAAGGGTGGGTTATGTTTCTAGGGTTGAATTTCTGAAGACTCAATTTGTAATACAAGTACAGTTTCTAATTCCTCACAAAACTGGTTCACAACCTGGATAATACCAGGATGGTGAACCACCCACCCAACTACCTTATCCTCAGTTTGTTTCTTTTTATCAGGGAGAAAATCTTCAACTAAGATGGAAATCAAAAGATTTCTCTGTTCTAGATGTAGAACTGTTTGTCTTGGAATGTTTCACTAAGTCCTTCCACAAAGACTTAGAATGTTTTTCTTCCCTCTGGATACATTTCACTTTAGCTGAAGGAAGAAGGTGTAGGAAAAAAAAAAAAATCCTATCAGCCTCTGAATATCAGCTTCCATCCTGGCTAACTTTTGACCATAGAGTTACCTAAAAATAAAAAATCCTTTCAAATATTTTCTCAGGTCTCAGCTGGGGTACATAGTAAAATATTCCTGGCAGTATGGAACAACCCCTTGGATGCAAAAGGCATCCCCAAAGAGGGTGCAAAGGATACTAGGTACAGAGTCAATCCTCAAAGGTAAACACAAGAAAGACAATTCCTCTGAGAGCTGGAAAGGGTAGGACCCTAGTCACAGATGGAGGGAAACCCACATTTCTGTCCAACCATATTTTGGGGGATTCCAACCTAACAATCACCGACTAAATACACAGGACACAAAATGAGACAATCAAACCAATGGGTACTTGAAAGCAAATTCATGAGCCACAATTTAAAGATCTAATTCTTACAAATGTTTTTTGCCTGAAAATCTGAATTTGGGAAGGAAGGGAAAACATTAAGTTTTATCTTCCTCCCTTGACCAGCCACCACCGATACAGATCTGGGAGAAATGACTTCAGTTAAAATCTTACTCTTGCTGCACCTGGGAGGCTCAGTCGGTTAAGTGACAGACTCTTCGTTTCCACTCAGGTCATGATCTCATGGTTTCTGAGATCAAGCCCCACATTGGGCTCTGTGCTGACATTGAGGCACCTGCTTGGAATTCTCTCTCTCCCTCTCTCTGCCCCTCCCCAGTTTGCACCTTCTTGCTCTCTCTCTTTCAAAATAAATAAATAAACTTACAAAAGGGGGGGGGTGGATCTTTTATCTTTTGCCAGCCTCTTCATTTTTCCAGGATCCTGTCTTCAGTCCGCAGAGCAAGTGGATCTCATCCTGGTCACCAGAAACTATAAAGGAGGAAAAATAATTTCCCCTCGACCCTTTGTACTGAGTGCTTGGCTAAGACCCCTTTTTGTTGGACACCTCATAAATGAAAAGGATTATATATGTTAAAATTCTCCACTGTGGCCACTGTAATTCAAGAATATCTTTGGTAAGGTTAACCTGCTTGTTCAGCCTTAAAACAATTTTTATTTTTTATCTGTGGTCTCACACTGACCTCAGAGCAGTTTAAGTCAGGCCCAGTCTGACTATGGATTTGGTCTGACCCCGAACTCTGTCTGGTTTTCAAGTTGGACCCAGTTTGAATCCCAACCCAGTCTGGCTTTTTAAGTCCAACCCAGTGCAACTCTGGCTAGGTTCTGGACTCAGTCCAGGAAAAAAAAAAAAAAAATGGTCAAATAAAATCTCAAAACTCATAATGCAAGGTTTGCACAGCTAGGATCTGAAAGGTACTTACCCCCACCTTCAGAGACAGCTAGAAGGCAAGGAGCTTAAGGAGCTCAGCAGGTCTCTTTGTGTGGTTACTCATGGCTCTTGGGGGCTGTGGGGTCTCCTTTGGATCCCTCTCCTGATGACAGAACTGTTAAAAGATAAACTGTGGCATATGAAACATTCTGAGTTCATTTGAGCAAAAATGGATTCAAATCAGGCAGCATCCAACCTAACAGTAGAAAGGAGTCTTGGAAAGCTGTGCAAAATGAAAGAACCTTAATTTTTTTTATGTTTATTTATTTTTGAGAGAGACAGAGAGAGAGAGAGAGAGAGAGAGAGAATGAATGGGGGAAGAGCAGAGAGAGGGAGACACAGAATCTAAAGCAGGCTCCAGGCTCCGAGCTGTCAGCACAGAGCCCGATGCAGGGCTAAAACTCACGAACTGTGAGATCTTGACCTGAGCCAAAGTCAGACAATTAACCAACTGATCCCCCCAGGCACCTCTAAATGAAAGAATTTTATAGGCAAAAGGGAACAGGAACAAGAAAGTTATACTAGGAAAACAAAACAGTTCCTTTTCTGTGAGGGGTGGTAGATTACCTACCGGGCACTGTTCAGGTGACTCCCAGTTACTGGCTTTAGGATTCTGTGCCTCCTAGATTTCAATGTCTATTTTCTTCCCCAGAATGGGGAAGTTCTCAGCTGATTTGTTCAAGTATACCTTCTGCCCCTTCCTCTTTCTTCTTCTTCTGGAACTACTATGATATAGATATTGTTCTGTTTCATTGAATCACTTAGTTCTCTAGTTCTCCCCTCATGATCCAGAATTTTTAAATCTTTTTCTCAGCTTCACCTTTTTCCCTAATTTTACCTCTATTTCACTTAATCTCCCCTCTGCCTCTTCAATCCACGCAGTCACCGCCTCTAGTTTATTTTGCACTTCATTTGCAGCACTTTTTAATTCATCATGACTATTATTTAGTTCCTTGATCTCTGCAGCAATAGATTCTCTGCTGTCTTCTGTGCTTTTTTCAAGCACAGCAATTAATCTTATGACTATTACTCTAAATTCTTGTTCAGTTATATTGTTTATATCTGTTTTGATCAATTCTTTAGCTGTCATTTCTTCCTGGAATTTCTTTTGAGGAGAATTCTTCCGTTTCATCATTTTGGCTACTTTTCCATCCCTTATGTGTTTTAAAAGTTTTTATGTGACCTTAACCTGTGAGCACTACTGTATTAAGGAGGGATCATACACTGTCCAGGGCCTGGCCCTTCAGGAGGTGTTTTTTTGGAGTGTGTTACTTGCTCTCTGTTTTTGTGACTTTGGTTACTTTACCTCCCTACTGGAAGTGATGTTTTGGACCTTCCACCAGATGTGCTTTGATTTTTTTTGTCATTGAAGTAGCCCTGGAAAGGAAAACAAACAAAAGACAACCAGAAAACAAAAACAAACACAAAAACAAAAGGTAAAAACCAGAAACACCAGCTACAAGTAAACAACAGGGTGGAGGCAGTGTTGATGGAAGCGGCCTTATCCCACACAAAGAGAGAAATGGCAGGGGTGGGGAAAAAGAAAATAAAATAAAAATTGACCAGAGAAACTATATGGCTTAATCCAGAGAGAGAGAAAGAAAAATAGAGAAGGTATAGAACATGTATAAAGAGAATAGATTAACTATGTCTGCTTAAACAAACCAATAACCAGAGTAACGAGACTAGAGGAGGGAAGAGACAAGAAGGAGAAAAGGAAGGAAGACTATATCTATATAATAAGAATTGTCCGAGAATTAAATCAGGCAATGCAAGAGCGCCGGTCTGGAGGAGGGCCTGTCTGGCTTGTCAGCACCAACTCGGCTGCCGTAGTTCCGCAGTTAGCAGGCGCGGAGGGGCGTGGTTTGGTGCAGGCGGTCCCGCCTCCCCTGTGGACCCGCCGCCCTTTCCCAGAAGCCCCAGCTTGGTGGTGATCCGGCGAAACATGGCGACGCCCAGTCTCTCTTCCACAGACAGGGTGATCCAAACCACTCTGTTCAAGCCGTCCTCACTGTGCCCTGGGAGCAAAGAAGGCAGTTTGCCCCACCCCGCCAACTCCCGCACCTCCCTGGTGCTTGGCTGGGACTTAAACCCTGATGTCTTTAAGGTTCCCACTCCGTCTGCCACCGGGGTTTCGGGCAAGTGCAGCTCCGCACTGCCCAATATATGCTCTCCGGCTGGAGGGCGCAGGCAGTCTTTTGTCTTTTTAGCGGATATATACCTTCTTCCCACAGCATTCCAGGGAGAGGATTACTTTCTCCCACTTAGAACTGCGTGTCTGAACCGGTTACCAAGCCCGGGGCTGGCTGCCTTCCTCCCCAGGTGCGTGAACAGAGCAGCCTATTCCAGTCCAGGGAAAGCCCCGCAGTTAGAGGTTGTATCTTTCTCCATCCTGGTCCCTGGTTTTTTCCTTGTCCAGATACAGTCCTACACTTTCCCAGCCTCCCTTTCTCTTCCCTTTGTCTCTCCGCAGGAGGGGATCCCTTCCCTCCATTCCTCTGCTGTGGGTTTTCTCTCTCCCAGTTTGCAATCATGCATCTTTGGCCCGCCAGCCAGGTTGTCCCAGTGCCTGGAGGCATCTCTGTCACTTTGCTTCCTGGACTCTTGGAGTTCAAAGTCTGTTGGCCTCAACCCTACTGTGTTTGAGAGATGAGGGAACTTCGGATCCCCCTACTTCTCCACCACGTTGGAAAGTTGCTAGATCTTAAGCATTCTTACCGAACAAAAGAGAGTTAATTATGTGACAGGTTAGATGTGTTAATTATCTTGATGTTAGTAATCATTCTACAATGTATATCAACCCATCACATGCACTTTAAATATATACAAGTACGGTTTTCAATTACCACTTAATAAGGTTAAAAAAATTATTTGGATCAATCTTCCAATTCATGAGTTTAGTTCCTGTATCATGTGTTTAGCTGTATCATTTCTCCTAATCTAACCCCTCGGTATTTACTTTTAGTTTAGTTACCATGTTTCTTAATTCTCAAGGCTTCAAATTTGCTTTTCTATTGAAGTCTTTCACTTTATTCTCTCCTAGAGGGTACTAATAAGTATTTTTGTTTTTCCTATATTAAAATTTTGGTGTGATCATTTCTTAATTTTGTTGAATCTCTTCTCTTTTGAGTTTCCTTACATGTCTGGGACTTTGTTGAATGTTTGTATTTTTAGATTAGCATCTAAGAAACACTGAAAATACCCATAGAGGGGGGAAAATGAGTCTCAATGAGGAGTCCTATGTCCAGCAGTGATGTAATGGAGCAAAAGGCGGGACTTGTGGTGGGCTAGCATGTTGTAAATGCATGAGAATATTTCACTTGTTCAGGAAGGGGAGGCACCCATTCTTCATAGTAGACATAAGTTATCTGGAACCTTCTCCATACCTGGTACTCTATAACTCTCATAATCTCTTGTGAGAATGTCTAAATTCGAATTCCTTATTCATATTGTACCCCTCCAACTCTATCCTGAGGCCAAATTAGGAAACAGTGGAAAATAGTAATGAATAGACATTTGTCATTAGTTTCCCCTCATCCAGCCTCTGAACCCTTTTCCATGTTAGGAGAATTTTCCACCGTAGGAGTCTTGCTGAGGCAAAGAATGCCCCTTTATAAAAAACTGAAGCTCTTGTGATTCTCTTTTCTAGTTATCAGACTTAGACTCTGCCAATCAAAATACATCTGTGCCGGATTTGAAGCTCTGAAAGGGAAGATCTGTGCCCACGCCGGCAAAATTCACCTCCTGGAGCAGAAGTGGCTCAATGGTAAGTCATTGCAATACTACCTGAATAGGGTTGTAGAGATTCCATAGCAAGGCCACTTCTGTGGCTTGGAGTTGTTGCTCCTGGCGGCCCAGCCTCCGTCCTGGTTCTCCAGCCTTCTTGCAATTCTGTGAGCCACGCCAATCCGTATCTGCTTCATTCAGAGTAATTTTCGCTTGCACTTGACAACTGATTAGTACCCTTGGCAGAACTACTTCACAGCCCTTTTATTAATTACCAATCAGACCTCGCAAGGCCTCCTTCTCTAAAACATACCACCTGGAGGAAAAGGTGGGTTTTTCTCTTTGCCTGCCTCGTGCTTTTCAGGAATCTCGCGTTCCATTGTCAGCCGAATATTACATGTTCTGTTTCTTTCAAAAAATGCACCCCTCTTCTGGGTTTTGGTCACTCTTCCCAGGTTTCCAAATTCCTATGCATCCCCTTTTCTTTTATGTATGTTTCAATGAGATCTGGGATGGTAGGAAAGGTACATCCTATTTTTAGGAAACCATACTGAACTGAAAGTTAACTATTTTATTTTCTACCTTTTACTCCTGATTCATTTTTAAATAATAATTGCCATGTGAGTATACTTAAAACTTTATATATGAATGTGTATATATGTGTGTATGTGTGCGTGCATGGGTGTGTGTGTGTGTGTGTGTGAGAGAGAGAGAGAGAGAGAGAGAGAGAGAGATCTATAGATCACCGGAAGAATTTCTAACTTAATGGCGATGTTAGGAAACAAGTGGAGGCCTTGGTATCAGGTCGTACTGTACTGATACGTCATTCTTTATCACTGTGATCAGTGTAGTCAGGTTGTTTTCAAATTGCTTTCATTGTCAATCAGCAAAGTAAACATTCCATTCCAATTTAGCCCACATAGCTCCTCATCTGCTTTCAGTGGGGATCATCTACAGTGTGTTCATTCTCTCTTTGGTTTTTTGTTTGCCTAAATACCTGTTTGAGATGGAATCATGAAGATTATGACGGTGTCTATTTACTTTGGTGAATATGACATTTCTTCAGGCCTACAGTAAAATCATTACCTAGGTTTATTCAATGTAGAATATCATTGTCAATATTCAATGTCCATTTATATTTGAAATCATATGCTGCCAAAAAGCCTGAATAAAATAAATGTTTTGTTAACTGGACCCTACTTTGAATGTAGCTAGGTCCATTGCAAGCAGATGTACTTAAAGCTACTGAAAAAAAATCTATACTTTTCAATACAAAATTGTCAGCACATTGCAGGTGCCCAATCACAATCTTGTGTGCTTGATATTCATTCTTTCCTGCCCTTCCCCCACCAAAAATTTCCTCTAATTTATCTGCATTTTTAAAAGTTGTCGATTCCTATAGTGGGTTTTCGTAAGCTAGGGCACACCTGTATATATCTCTAACCACTGAATATTCCAGTTGCCTCAATATCACATTCCCCAATACTGCCTTAAAGACATTCTCTGTTTCTGTTTCCTTTGCCTTTGCTGGTTTTCTTCTGGTGAGCTAATACTTTTCAGGCGCTCTTTTTTCAATTTGCTTTAAACTTCTGACTCTACTCTCTGAGTTTTCCTGCTTCTCTTTAAACTTGAGTCAGGCTGTCAACACCACTTATTGAATGCCTGCTGTGAAAAGATACAAAAGGAATCAAGGCGACACTTTCTTTCCTGGAAGACTGTAAAATCTACTTGGTGAGACAGAATATACATTCCCATTGAAAGCATGTAAAAGACTCCAAAATGACCTGAAATAAGCATGTATTAATTTAGTCGAACACTTACATGTATTCTAAAAGAATGCAGTGTTCTTTAGTACTGTGCAAGATTGATTAAGTCTCTTCTAGATCTGAGTTTTGAGTGTCAAGCCTATCAGACATCATGTCTCCTTTTATAATAAATATTTTATGATAACTTTTTACTATTTCAAAATGAAATGAATAGATGAAAAAATCTAACAATGCACATAATTTCAAGGAAATTAATATAAGGTCTTATCTGCAACACAAAGGAGAGTAAAAATATTTTATAATCAAATAATATATATTTCAAAATATAACTGGCCAGGCACATGCACACTAGAAGACAAAATGAGATAGAATCAGATTATGGTCCCATATGTGGCAATTGCAAATGTGTTGGTGGCTCAAAAGTCAGGAAGCATGGCTGTCAGAAGTGTGGATTTCCACAGTGGTGACCTACTCTTGGTCAAGTCCCAGAGGAAAACAAATATTCCCTTGGCTTATATGTAGGTTACACCTGTGAAAAAAAAATCACTCTGTATTAGAAAAATCACTATGTATTGTTGTATGCAACCATTTTGTATGAAAGGGTTAAATTCTGGTCTCAATTAGAAACAGGCATCCCATTTATATGAGGACCCAGGGTCTGTTCAAATATGGCAAGGATTTGGAACTGTTCTTTATTGTACAAGATTGTCCTCACACTGAGGGATGTCTAATATCTTCCTGCTGGTCATCTAATCATGTGACAACTGTCCTCACACTGAAGGATGTCTAATATCTTCCTGCTCGCCACCCTGTCCAATCATGTGACAACTGCATGTGTCTCCACATATTTGCCAAAGCATCCTCTGGATATGGGGCTACCTGTGTTGAGAATAACTGGAAGTAGAAGAGAAGACAGATCTTTAGTGATAAATGGGCCAAGAATTTCAGCACCTTCTTTCCATCTCTTTGGTTCCTAAGCCTTATTCATGTCAAAACCATGTGGAGAAACCTCTCATCTATCTAGTTAACACACGCTTAACACATACTTCCATCATGTGTTCTATACCTGAAACTGTTATAAACGCTCTACATATATTACCTCATTTAATCTATTTACCAACCTTTCAGGTAGCTTTAAGGTAGACACTATCAGTACAAATTACAGATTAGGAAACTTGCATATTGAGAGGTTAAATGATTTGTGCAGGTCGCACAGCTAATAAATATAGAAGTTAAGATTCTAATATAGGTATTTTGGTTTCATGGTAAATGGTAAGTTAATATATTATGCATTAGACATATAAATCCCATCCTGAGTGGTTTTGATTCAGTTAAATCTGGTGTCAGGATAGAAAAATCTGTATGTATGTGGATAAGACTTTCACATATATATAGTGAGAAAGACACTGACTCGTATATGGAAACTTCAGTACTGTACCACAGCTCAATTGGGAGTGACAAGAAGGAGACTTATATCATTAGAGTCAAATCTCTGTATTAGAGTGTAATGAGAAAGCAAAACAAAAACAAAAACAAAACAATAACAACAACAAGAAAACAGTGGGTGGGGAACTATCCATTTAGAACCTTGGAAGCCAGGCTAATACACATCACTTTTGTAAAATTGTCAATAGGGAGCTATGCATTGTTCAATACAATGAAACATATTGAAAACACAGCATCAGAGGAAGAGCATGAATAGCATTAATAAACATAAAAGTGTTATAACACATTCAGCAAAACATATAAAGATAATAAATCTGCACCTGGAGAAAGTACATTAGGTTGTATGCCTGATGTGGGGAAAAAAGCAATAGTATCTAATTGGCTGTTGCATAGCTTTCAATTATGAGGCTTACAAACCAGTTAGATAATTGTGAGCTCATAGATAGATAAGCACTGGGATTTAGAAAGTACCTTTGAGAACATTAGGTCTGGAGACCACAAACCCAAACACTTATAAGATCAAGCAGATAATGAGAAAGAATACTTCTAAGACAATGGGGAAGAGTGGGGAAGGTGTCAAACTTGAACATGCATAGAGGGCAGCTGTCATTTTGTTCCAAGCAATTACTGTTAGGATAATTATACTAGCCCAATATTAGCACACACTCTGATTTTAAAGAAAGCCAAGACATTCATATTTTTAGTCAAACAGTTCACATTTTACCATGTTATGCTCAAACATATTTTAGAAATTTTATCACGTAATTTGTTGAAATCTGGATATAGTGTATTTTTTATGTCTCCTAATTTTCATAATGTGCGAAAAGTGACTGATAGTGACTATAAAAATATATAGGGACTTTAAAGAGTTGCTGGATGCCCTTTTACTAATCCCTCCCCTGTGACAGGTGGCAATTACAAAAACAAAACAAAACTTCTGTTCTACCTACAGTGATCCCTGCACACATAATGACTGGTAGTTATAAACTACACGTTCTAGGAGTCATGAAAGAAAAGTCAAGACCTGTGTCTTCCATTTATTAGGCATACTAACTTCACCAATGCACTCAACCTGTGCCTACTCTGTAAACTAGAGATTACAATTCCCAGTCTGTATTTCTCACTAGGTTACTATAAAAATCAAATATATATCAAATGTATTCAACCCTGTAAAAATACAGTACAGTGGATTGGAAATTAAGGGATCGAGTCAATTAGTCGATTGGTTTTCCACTGGTGTTCTAACCTAAAAATGAGGTCGATCAAGAGCAGTGATCACTTATAGAAATGTAAGGTGAAGCGCATTTATAACTAAATGTTTTAGAGTCTGCATTGAAAAAGGAAAAAAGGACAGGTAAAATTAATTTTAATAATATTATATATTTAATTCAGTGTATCCAAAATATTACCATGTCAACATACGATCAAGATAAAAATAATTATTGAGATTTTTTTACATATGCTTTTATGTCAAATTTGGTATATGATAATGCATTTTATATTTACGGCATGTCTCAATTTGTATTAGTCACATGTCAAGTGCTTGATAGTCACAGTGGTAGTGGCTGTCATATTGGATGGCACAGATCAAGATAATGACTAATTCAACTCTTTGATACATGTCTCATTATTATATATCGCATCATGCATCGGTCTTTTTAAATGGCTAAAGCTTAAATCCACCTCAAGATGAATCAAATAAGGTCTTTAACATTTTTTTAAATTAGGAATTGAAATGGCCTAACAAAATTATTCTTTTCTAATTCCATAGTAAGGAGAAGATACCAAGAGTTACAGTATATAAACAAGTTCCTTTGATATTTTTTAA